TAGATATATAGATAGATATATAGATAGATAGATATATATATAGATATATATATATAGATAGATATATAGATATATAGATATATAGATATATAGATATATAGATATATAGATATATAGATATATAGATATATATATAGATATATATATATATAGATATATATATAGATATAGATATAGATATAGATATAGATAGATATAGATATATATAGATAGATAGATAGATATAGATAGATAGATAGATATAGATAGATAGATATAGATAGATAGATAGATAGAGATAGATAGATAGATAGATAGATATAGATAGATATAGATAGATATAGATAGATATAGATAGATATAGATAGAGATAGATAGATAGAGAGATAGATAGATAGAGATAGATAGATAGATATAGATAGATATAGATAGATAGAGAGATAGATAGAGATAGAGAGATAGAGATAGATAGAGATAGATAGATAGAGATAGATAGATAGAGCTAGATACATTGGCATTTTTGTAACCTAAATAGGGCAATTTTGTAACCTATAGGGCATTTTTGTAACATTTAGGGCATTTTTGTAACCTGCGCTTTTGCAACCTTTATCAGGCATTTTTGTAACCTCGATCTGGCATTTTTGTTACCAATGTAGGGCATTTTTGTAACCTAGCAGAGCATTTTCGTTACGTGTGTGACATTTTTATAACTAAACACAATGCTTTTAAAGTTGTGTCATTAATTTATTTCTAACAAAGTTTTAGGAGAACTTACTGCTCGAATGGGCAAACCGAGGCCGCTTTTGAATATTTTTTGTTTTCAAACTAATCAAAACCAATCACTACTGGGTTATATTTTGACTAAACATTTTCCGGTTGTGAACTTATGACATATTCATAAGTCTAAATGGCTCGCTGCTGATTGGTTTTGGCTTAGTTTGAAAATATTAGAAATACGCAAAGTGCCCTCGGTTTGCCTGTTCGAGCTATAACTGTTTTTTTGTCATTAAATGCGTTAAACAGGTGATTGTTTGTTTGTATTGATACAATAATGACTTCTATGGTTGTATGACCCTACCACTCTTTGTGTGGTAAAGTTATAATGTGTATTTGCATTTACGTCTTTGAGCGACAGTTCAAAAACAATAAAAAGCACCCTTACGAAAAAATCCTATAGGATCCTATAGGAATTCCTATAGGAAATGCCATTTCCTATAGGAATTCCTATAGGATCCTATAGGAATAGAATTCCTATAGGAATTTCCTATAGGAATTCCTATAGGATCCTATAGGAATAGATTTCCTATAGGAATTTCCTATAGGAACTGAATTCCTATAGGAATTTCCTATAGGAATTTCCTATAGGAATTTTCCTATAGGAATTTTCCTATAGGAATTTCCTATAGGAATTTCCTATAGGAATTTCCTATAGGAATTTCCTATAGGAATTTTCCTATAGGAATTTTCCTATAGGAATTTTCCTATAGGAATTTCCTATAGGAATTTCCTATAGGAATTTCCTATAGGAATTCGTATTGGATGTTATATAGAATATAGAATCCTATTGCTGCTATTATATGTTTTTACTGTTTTTTATAGCAAAATACAAAACAAGTGTGACTCCAAAGATCTATATCGATCTACATTGATATATATTGTTATTGATCTTTGGAGTTACACTTGTTTTGTATTTTGCTAAAATACTCAGTGGTTATGTTTTTAGTATCAATGTGTTTAGCTAGCTAGGATTTCTATAATTCCTGATGGTCCCTAATGCAAGCATTCCTATTGGAATTTTATCCCTAATAAGAATATAAGATACAGCCAATAGTTCGCGCTTCTACTGGACGCCCTGGTGACTAGTTTACGTTTCCGAGCGCAAAGCTTCATGGGATAGCATCGTTTTATTTGTGATAAAAAATATTTGGTGTTATAATATTGTGCTTGGAATATTTCGTTGATATTTTTAACCCAAACGGTGGAAAAGGAATCGGAAAGTTCTTAACATGTTATTCAGATGTCACAGGTAAGAATTCTTTTGTATTTGACTTATTATTTAAGCACTTTAATTGCAAAATAATGTGGTGAATATGATTGTTAACTTGAGCCAATATGTGGGCCATGTGTCTTAAAATTCCGTTGAATGTTTGAATTTGCCGCGTTCAATTTGCATATAAAACATACAAAGTGTTGGTTTCTGGCATTAAAGAAAGATTGAAATATAAATTCGAAC